GAATTAAATATTCATATATATATAAAACATAACTTAATAACTTCTACTCTAGTGTTAATCACTGGTGTTTCCATAGAGTTCAGTGGTCAATCGTAAACACCAAAAAAAAAAACCTTTTCGTAAAGAAATTTTGTTTATTATACCTAGCATAAATTAAATCCCATTTCATATAATATAAATAGATAAATGTTATCATTTCCCACCTAAAAACTGTTAAGTCATGAATTGACCTTAGTTAAAAAGGCTTTGTAGATCATGTTGAGAGAGAGCCACAAGACAAGTGTTTCATGCTCTGTCCAGTGTTGCTCTGTCGTGAAGCGTGAACACAATTTAAAGGGCAAAGATGAATGTTGTGGTTCTTTCTAGCTTTCAACAGGATCGCATATGTGCGCGAGGTTCATTCAGAAAGATGCGTCTTAAAACTAAATAAGATGTTGTGACTGTGTTTTAACAATCACTAGTCTGTATACGTGGACTCGACTCGCCAAAATGCCAGAGCGCCAATCATAAAAAGTGTGGATAGCTGATAAAATTCGTGGCTCTCTATTTCAAATTTTAAGCATAAACGAACATTATACAGTACAAGGATTGCTGCCGCACGTTACTTATTTTCCCATTCGTCCCCACGCATGCTCACACATTAATTAGTAGGACCTCTTGTTAATAAAAATAATTAGTGAGCTTAGCATGTGCAATACATTGTGTTTGCACATTAAGATATTTGTCCCTGCCAAACAGGGTCAGAATACTTGTCTTTAGCGTGTGCAAGTAAGCGTGTTGCCCAATTAAGGCTCGTCTTCCGGCTACATGTGGGGGTTGTAGCTGTCCCTCTCTCTCTCAAAAATAGATTCATGATACTAGTCTTAGTGTGTGTAACTATATGAGCTGCTCAGTTAAGGCTTGTTTTCCAGCTTTATGTAGGGCAGTACCTGTCCCTCTCTCTCAGAAAAAAAACTAAGATGATGATACTAGTCTTTAGCATGTGCAAATAAGTGAGCAGCCCAGTTGAGACTTGTCTTCCAACTATTCTTCAAAGCATCATCAAATTTACCACGGAAATGTTTCAGTGCTTCTTCTTCGGTGAGTTGAAACTGTAACGTTTCACGCAGATAATCAATGTCGGTGAGTCTTGTCAACTCTGGTAGTCCAGTCGAAAGCATCATTGCGAATAGGTTAATAAATAAATTACCTTTCCGACGGAACATCAGATAAGCTTGCTCACATTTTGATCGGAAGCTGTGAACAAAATGTGATGTTGTAAATGAATAAGTTGAACTGAATTTGAAGACAATTTTTGGGCTTTTTATAAAAATCAAAGCAATGAAGAAAAATCAACAACCCAAAAATAATGGTACGTTTAGTTTTCAGGACATGTGTCAAGACTTTGCTTAAAAATAAATTGTTACAGAGTATGTCCCTTTAATACACCCCCCACAATCACACAATCTTATTAATTATCATAAGATTAATAAAATATTACACGTACTTGTCAAATTCTTCAGATGAACCAGTGTTTTTACCACGTGTTATGACATGCACAAAGTCATGCGTCAATACGAATGGCACTCGCTCTCTCTGGATACCAAACTTACTCTTTGAAATTACCCAGAATATGACCAAAGTCAATATGGAAAAGCTGTCAATGTAAAACAGACATTACCAAAGTTAATATGGAAAAGCTGTCAATGTGAAACAGACATTACCAAAGTTAATATGGAAAAGCAGTCAATGTGAAACGGCTAATTTACATTAAACAACTCGATTAGATTAAGTCAAACAATTCTTAGTGACCACCTGCCTAGTGGTTTTTCTAAACCTCTTTTGAAAAAAATACATCCCTGTGTCTAAATTATCACTATATAGATTTATTTGTTCAAGAAGGTGATTTCAAGAAATATAATGTAGCTATTCTGTTACCCTCTATTCTGTTTCACAAACTTCGCTGCCTCCCATATTTTTAGTTTCAGTTCAGACTTATAATTTCATCACTGTGCATCAGCACCTTCATCTCAGACAAACCTGAGTCGATTTCATTCAAACTTCACACACATATTCAAGATTGCTATATGATGGCCATTTAAGTGCTCAAAATTTATCAAAATCAAGCATTTCTGCATTCCGGAACCAAATCTCAGTCATGCATGGACAAATTTCATTCAAACTTGGTATGTCCATTGAACATAATGTGCTCCATGCTTGAATATAATTTTTTTTTTTTCTCAGATTGGATTAAAAATAGCTGACTGGCATCCATTTTGTTTTAACAATTGCTTCCCAGGGTCATATCTCTGACCTGCTTTAATCAATCACATTCAAATTTGACACATAAATCACATGTTATATCATACATAAGCACATGCATTTGTTTTATAATCTAAATCACGATGGCCAAATGAAGACCATTTGAGTCCTAAAAACAAAGCAGTTCTACCATTTCGGAACTGAATCTCAGTCGTGTATGGACATGTTTCAGTTAAACTTGGTTTGTCTATTAAACATAATTGGTCCTTGATGCACATATGTGTTTTTCCCCTCAGATTTGATT